ACTCCCATATTTTTAATAGAAAATATTGTGTAGGTTTTTCTGAATGGCTTAGTACTATGTAAATGGATCAGTTCCATTCTTAAATTGCAACTGTGCATGCTACAGAAGACTTCATCAGCTGTTAATCCTGTCCCACATGCACTAAGCAGAATAATATTAGAACACGCAATGCATATTTGGAGAAAGCTGGTTCATAGAGAAAGGCTCCTCTGGTAGCTTTGCTTGGGTAAAATGTTTCTGAGAGCTGAACAAAGTACATAGGACTTTTTTTTCTACTATTAATGTCATTAGCTCTTGAAAGCTTTATTCTCTTACTAATAAAGATTATATACCATCAAAAAGTAATTAACTGTCAACTAGAGAAAATAATTTATTTAATTTCATGACTCATAATGGAATCTTAAAGTCTGTATCTCATTTTTTAAAAGAATTATTTATTTATTTATTTCCATTTGTTATTGCTAGATTATATTATTTTATTTTAATAATAAAAAGAGAGAAAGGGGAAGTGAGAACGCAAGCCACCAGGTCTGGAACTTGAACCATGGTTGGCCATGTGGGAATCCAGTGTCCTTCTCCACCACACCACCTGCGGGCCCCCTATAACTCAAATTTTAAAGGAAACATGAGAGAATGAATTTCCAAGCTCTTAACATTTAAAGGATCATAAAGCGGTTAAAGTAGATAAATATCTATTTTGGTATTCTATGACCTTCATGATTTCAGAGAAAATTCAATATTGTAGGGCAAGTTAACCTTTGAGAAACATTTTCTCAGACATCTTCATGTCTTTATTTCTATGTGTAATTAATAATAATAGTTTCACATTAGTATTCTTAATATACATCACTTTTTAATATTTTTAAAAGGCACTCTTTTTGTTGTTTAAATTGCATTATTTGCCATGAGCTATTTGTGTTAAAATAATTGCCATTATGGCATTTTTAGGATTTTCTTTACAAACAAAAAACACTCAAATATAAGCTACTTGACCTAGATGTTTCAGAGTTACCTGAAAAACAAATGCTTGTTCTCTGCAAGTAATTTTAAAAACAAGACAGGGGACCAGCAGTTAGTGTAGTGGCTATGTTCCTGGACTCCCATGTAGTCAACTGTGGTTCAAGTCCCGGACCCGGTGGCTTAAAATCATGCCTGGGCACCTGTGCGTGCGTGCCCAAGATCCCGAGAGGAGGATGGAGGAGAAGGGATTGCAGCATGGCCATCCCCACTGGGGGGTGATTTCTCACTTTCTGTCTCTCTCTGGTGAGCGCATGCACCCTATAACAAAAACCTCTCCAAAAATAAATAAATAAATAAATAAATAACAAGACATATATTTGATTGTACACTCTTTTAAGGAAGACTTTTATATATCAACAAAAACAGTATTTATTAGGTCAGCTTCATGGTGCATGGGTGATATACTGCTCAGAAGAAGCAAAATCTCATATGGTGACTGCAATTAGAATCCTTGGCCTGATCAGCCTAAAACATGCCAAGAATGCATGTAAGTGTCCAGGATACAACTGATTAGTGGTCTAGAGGGAGGGATCATAGTATGACAAGACCCTATGAAAAGTACTTTTCTATCCCTTTCTTGTGCACATGTTCTATTTTAATAAGAATAAAGATAAAGGAAAAACATTTTTTAAAATACCCAGTATTTATTTATTGTTTTATTTTAACAATTTTCTTAAACTATGTTAGAAAAGTCAGTCCAAGTTTACTTAAAATATTAGAAGGGCTAGATGTTTCAATTCTTTGAAGTTTCTTTAGTAGTCCAAAGACACTGCCTTCCATTTAGAATCTGGTGGCCAAGGGTTACTAACAGTGTTTATTTTTAGTATTATTTAGTTAGTTTTAGAATATACTAATTAAATATGAATAATAGCTCATATTTGTATAACATTTGATATTTTTTAAAATCCTATGTGTGGATAAAGCATTAGTATCTATATTTTATGGAAGAAATCTGAGCCTCTGAGACATTTAAGTATGTTTGAACAAAGTCAGACCTAACACCATCTATATGGCTTTCTATTTCACCACACTGGCAATGGTATGGCATATGTCAGAAAATTTCCGTTTTTTTCCTATCTTACCAGAGCTAAATACATTTAATAAAGTAAAAGAGAGAACACTGGGAATTAAACAGCATTTGTTTCCAGGATAAAATCTGTTAATATTTAGCTGTGTGAACATGGAAAAGCATTCATGTGACTTGCTAACTGAAAAACATTCTTAAAACTAGAAAGTTGGAAAATATATAATTCATGCATTCCTTAAAAATACTAAGTAATAAATTTCAGCTTACCAAGAGAAGAATAAAATAAAGAATTTAAAAGGGAAGTTATAATATAAAGTAACTGGCAATAATCAATGAAACTAGTAAAACATAAATTTTATCAAAATAATCTTTGGTACTATGGTTATAAACTGAACATAAAATTTTGAAAAGCTCTTGATAGGCTGGCCCTAGTGGTTAAAGGAGCTGGATCTCATGTGGTTAAAGGAGCTGGATCTCATGTGACTGACTGCAGTTCAAGTCCTGACCTTGGCAGCTTGAAAAACACGTTAGGTGAATGTGACTCAAATCCCCACAGAATGGAGAAATGGAAAAGGGATTGTGGCCTGAGGGTGCATTGGAGGGTGCTTTATCTCTCTCCCTCTCTCTTTCTCTCTCTGTTCTCAGAAAGGCACACACCCTCTGGCAATACAAATAATTTCCAGAAATGCTCTTTTTTTTTTCTTTTTTTTGGAGAGGTTTTCTGTTATAGGGTGCGTGCTTTCACCAGAAAGACAGAGACAGAAAGTGAAACAGCGCTCCCCTCCAGGGGGGATGACCACGCCACAATCCCTTCTCCTCCATTCTCCTCTCAGGATCTTGGGCATGCACGCACACATGCCTGGTATGAGTTTAAGCCACCAGGTCCGGGACTCAAACCACAGTTGACTACATGGGAGTCCAGCGACACAGCCATTACACTAACTGCTGGTCCCCAGGAATGCTCTTGAAAGGGGTCAGCAGGTGGCATGGTGATTAAGGTGCTGGATCCCACAGTTCTCTTCACTGGAGTTCTGGACCCAGCACTAATTGATTAGAGGATATAAAAGCATGGAAAATGGTTATGGATACTGGAGACAGTGTGGGAAGAGGGTGTGAGAAGTGGGAGAGTGTGAGGAAAAAATTAAAGAGATAAATAGAGATGCAAGACATTTATGGGGCACAGAAATGGATTATTATCTGTTGATTATAACTTGTATAGTATGCTCAACTAAACTGGTGTGAAGTGTATTCATGTTAGGTAAATTCACTTTACAAGCTAAATGATATATAATGACTATATGTATAAACTAAATTAAAATTGAAAAATAATATTTCTTTAAAACTAAACAAACGAACAAAAACTCCAGGCATATGTGTGTGTATGCCTAAAATCCTTCTAGACGAAAATGGAGAAGAGATTGTGGCATTGCCATCCGCCCCGAGGTGGAGTGATTTCTCATTTTCCCTCTCTCTTTGTCTCTATCTGTTGCTCTCCAGCGAGCACATGGGCCCTACAGAAAAAACAAACAAAAAACAAAACAAAACAAAACAAAAAACACTTGTGGAAAGAGAAAGTGTATGTCCAAATAATATTAAGTTATTTTAATATTAATGATGATAATTTGTGTATAAAATCTCCCATTGGATCAATAAAAGCTGGAGAATATTATGAAACAGAAGGTGTATGTAAATGCTCAAATCGTTAATGTTGGCATTGATATATCATTTTGGCATCTATAAATGAGAAAAATTAGAGTCTTCTATTTTCTCTTACTTTCACATTCATATTCTAAAGCTCTTTGTAAGATGGAAAATATGCCCAAATATACATTTTTTACTGTACCAATCAGAAAACATGCAGTAAGTTCATTTGTGTGAGGTGGATGCTACCAAAACTTAAGAAGTCTGGAAAATGAGTTTTTTGGGGTTGATTTGTGATATTTAAAGTGAATTGCTAAGATTGAGCTTTTGAACATATCACAAATAAATTTTACATTAGGAAGAAATGATAATTGAATAGATATGTATCAGGTTCTCTGGTTTCATAGCAATCATACTAATATGGTTATTCACATAATTTCTTATTAGACCCAGTCCATAAAATGCTCATAAATATATTTCTTACATTAAAAAATTATATCTCTACATCCTCGACTTTTGATGACTAAAAAAGGCATGTCCTTTTAAATATATTCTCTCACTACTTAGTAACTACAAATTATTCCTTGATCATAACTATAGGGAAAGCAGAGTAACTTTCTAAGGAAGAGGGCATGTGGTGACATTATTGCAAATCTGTGGTTATTTCTTCTGTGTAATGAGGCCCTGGACAAAACTAGCATGAATGAGAATGTGGGTACCCATGTTTATGTAAAGAGAAAATACATAAATGAGATAAGTGTCCAATCATATTTAAATCATACATTTATATACTAGTACCCAATTAAGAATCTTACAGCTTATGTATGCTTAAATTATCAACTCTCAGAAAGGACTGTACCTAATTTACGTGGCTCTGAGATAAATGAGAAGATTTCCTTTCCCTTTTGTTTAATCTATACCCAGTCTTGTTCAGAATACAAAGTGGTGTGGACTCTTTCCTTAAAAGATTGTGCTTTAGAAAGGAAATGAGATAGATGTATTAATAAAGTAGTATCAGAATTACCATGTTCTAATTACAGGCAAGTTGTTTGTGCCACATTTTAAAATTACACACATCAGTATTCTTATGGATGAACTTTATTCTTTTGTTCCCTTTATGAGATGACTACCACGAATGATTCAAGAATTACCAGAAAAAAAAAGTAAAGATTAAAAAGTTCTTAATGGTAATTTTGCATCCCTGTTGCATTGGTTTGGCTAAATGATGTTGGCATTGAACTTGCTCCATAGTTATAGTGTATTAGATAAGTGCTGCCTCATTTTTTCCCCCAAATTCCTACTTTAATTTCAGAATGATAAAAAGATGCCTACCAGATTTGGGAAACAAAGTGAACATCTTGAGCATGCGATTGATCGTGTTCTTGTCATGATATCGGAAAGAAGAAGGGCTCGTAGTCTACATGGCACTAATGAACAACCACCTCATAACATTTTCACAGCTGCTCTTGAACTGATTAATATGGTCAAGATGATACTAAACATTTTGGAAAGGTAATTTCAAATATTTGACCTTTAAAGCCCTAAAATAGTTGCATTTCTCCCTCCTTCTTTCTCTTTAGAAACCTTATGTGTGGACTGGATTTTATTTTCACAATTTCTCTCTAAGGTGTTCATAGATATTTTATTGATGCTCTGAATTTTCTCTAGGATGTACAACATAGTTATATTGCTCCCTTTAGATGAACCAATATTTGATTATATGACTTTTACTGAAAAAAAATGTTTTACAGAAGATTTACCTTGGGTTTTCTTTATAAATCAAACTTCACTGTTACCTTTGAAACAACAAATATTTTCTGTAGTCTTTCAGGAATACACAAAAGTTAAACCAAAGTTCTAAATAACCACATCTGAACATTTCACAGCAAGAAAATAATTTTTTGCCATTGTGTGTTAACTAAATTAGGGGATTTTAGTAAATAAAAGTTAGTCCTGTTTTTCTTCTGACTCTATGAGATCAACATTTTTAGATTCCATGTAAGTGAGATATTATATTGAATTGTCAGGAAAGTTATGATCATTTTTGTATAAAAATCAGAAAAGATATGCCATGACTTTCTCAACAACCTAACAGTTTTGTCCCTCTGTGCCATGCTTATTTCATTCGGCATAGTATCCTCCAGGTCCATCTGTGTTGTTACAAATATAAATTCCCTCTTTTTTAAAACTGTATAGTATTTCACTACAAATACTACATTTTCTTTATCCATTCATTTGTTGATGATGTCATTGAAGATCCCTTATGTGTTATGAGTTGCACCACTATAGTGGGAAATATACAAATGAACCAGTATGTTTCTTATGTTAGGTTTGATGAAGAAGTTGATTATCATAGAAAAGTTATGACTGTATAAGAAAAGTATATTTAATCATAATAAACTGGAGGGAATTAAAAAATAAAAATTAAAAATTAAAAACCCTGTATTCCTAAGGAAAGACTATGGAAATAAAAGACTAATGATTTCTAATTACACTGTGATATTAATTTTTAAGTAACATATTAATATTTTTTATTTCCTAGTTGTGATTTTGATCAGACTACAGTCAACTTTTAATCACACACACAAATGAAGCATTATATGAATACTTATTCTTGGTGTTTTGTTTCTGCTAGGTGTTACATCCCAAAGGTAGAAGAGGTTAAATAGTGAAAGAGGGACTATGATCAATGAGAAAGATATAGGGGAAGAAGTCATGGTATATTTCTCTATACTTCTTTGTTATCTGCTTTCTTCCTCATCCATTATCATTTATTTTTATTTCAACTAATACTTGATTGACAAACCCATTTTTTCACCAAAAGAAGGGATGAAGCAACTGAGTTATATAATCAAAGAAATTCCAAATCAAGTGTTAGACTAATTTAACAAATTCATCAATTTCTGTATCCTGTGTGCTCTGAGCTCCTTCCTAGTAAACATCTATTTAGTAACAAACTGAATGAAACAAGGAAAGGTCAGAAGCTAATCAGAAAGTAAGTATCTTAGATCCTTGGAGTAATCTCAACTTAAGGAAAAAGACATACTGGATGTACAGAAAAGATGAACACAGAATTCAGTAGTAGAAACAAAGAATACACCTTAAAAAGAATATAATCTACTTGGGACCAGCAGTTAGCATAATGGCTATGTTGCTGGACTCCCACGTAGTCGACCGTGGTTCACGTCCCGGACCCGGTGGGTTAAAACTCACGCCAGGCTCGTGTGCGTGCGTGCCCAAGATCCCGAGAGGAGAATGGAGGAGAGAGGATTGCAGTGTGGCCATCCTCCCTGGAGGGTGATTTCTCACTTTCTGTCTCTCTGTCTCTCTCTGTCTGTCTGGCGAGCGCACGGGCCCTATAGCAAAAATCTCTCCAAAAAAAAAAAGAAAAAAAAAAGAATATAATCTACTTCACTAATAGTTGGTAATTTACAGTATTATATGTTCTCATTTTATCGAAATAATAGCCTCATTACAAAATTCACATCCTTACTAAAATGTACTCTTTAGTACAATTTTAGTAAATTCCTCTGTCTAAGGACTTTCTTGCTTTCATTAGTGAACTAGTAAGATCAAAGGGGCTCATATAGCTGCTCCTGTATTTTATATTACGTAGTACTTAAGACAGTCAGATTCTTCTTTCAGAAATGAAATCATCTGTACGAAATGACCTCATATAGCAGATTTCAAATATGTTCTGCTTATGAATTAACTTGGCATCTTTTTTTAACTGTTTGAAGATTTTAAACATGAAAACATTACACCAGTTAGAATGTCTATTATCAATCAATCAATAAATAAATAATAAATGCTGTGAAGGATTTTGAGAAAGATCAATAAATAAATAATAAATGCTGTGAAGGCTTCAGAGAAGGGAATTCTTTTATACTTTTGGTGAGAATTTAAATTAGTACAGCCATCATGGAAAACAGTATAGAAGTCCCTTGAAAAATTAAGATCCGGTAATCCCACTGCTAGGCATATATATAAAAGAAAGGAAATCAGTATGCCATACAGATATCTACAATCCAGTGTTTATTTCATTGTTACCATATTAATCAGGATTCAAAATCAACCTAAGTTTCCACTCACAGATGCATGAATTAAGAAAACACATACATACATACAGTGGAATACTACACAGCCATTAAAAGAATAAAATCCTGTCATTCAAGGCAAGATGCACAAGCCTGGATCTTATTTCCACAGTTTCTCTCAAAGATTTTCATAGATATTTTATTGCTTCTCTGAATATCTCTCTAGGGTGTACAACATCCTGCTCCCTTTAAATAAACCAATATTTGATTATTTTACTTTTCTGGAAATTATTACATTAATCAAAATAAGCCAGGAACAGAAAGAAAAAAAATTGTGTGTTCTCATGCATATGTAGAAACTAAAAAAACAAGTTGAACTCATAGAAATGGAGAATAAAATATTGATTAATAAAATCAGAGAAAGGGGAGGACAAAGAGTAGAGAAATATTAGTTAATGGATACAAATTATAATCAGGTAAGAGGGACAGTGCTAGTGTTATAATACACAATAGGGTAACTATAGTTAACTATGTTTTATTATATATTCAGAATAACTAAAAGAGAAGATTTTGATGTTCTCAACACAACATAATAATAAATATTTGAGATAATGGATAGGCTAACTACCCTGATCTGATCATATACATTATATTCATGTGTTGAAAAATCACTCTGTATCTCATAAATATGTATAAGTATTGAGTATCAATTAAAAGTTCAATTTTGAAAAACATACATTTTCACAGTCCTTGATTAAGAGCTAATTACTATTATAAAAGGTATCCATAATTGACTAACCTTTCTACCTATATGATTATTAATTGAGTATTCCAAATGTAGTCTTTCAACACCAAATATATTATAAATGAAACATTTCAAAAATCACAATAATATGTCTGGTACTGGGGATGGTTATTATAAAACAATGTAATACTTTAAAATTCCTTAGCTTTAATCAATTCTGATTTTACAAGCTTCCTTCAGAACATCCATATGTTTTGAAAGTTATAGCAGGAATTAATTTATCTTATTTCTGAGAATGATAACAATATGGGTTTTTAAGAATGATTAGGGTTCAGTCAAATTTCATATACAATAATTATATTTCCTCTTGCCAAAATTAAATTTCCTAAATAAAGGAAATTCAATTTCCTCTAGTTAGAGTGACAATTAAATTTTCTCTAGTTAGAGTGACAATCAGAGGATTTTCTCAGGTTAGAGTGACAATCAGAGGAATTACTCCTTCTTTTGTCTCTAAAATAGAACTATTATGTAACTGGAGAAAATTATTTCTATGCTTTATCCTAAAATTGTTCTCATTTCTGTGTTTCAAAAACAAAATATGGGGAAAATGGTATTAAAATGTAGATTTTCCATTAATATTTTTAATATTGAATTTGTCTCAAATTGTGGTTAAAGTTATTATTTGACCTGTTTCAGTCTTGTTTAATCAAATACATTATTTTAAGCATAAAATTGCTTCAACTTTATTAAAAAGAAGGATATCAATCTAGTGAGTCATCTCAACAATAAAGATAATAACTCTTTGAGAATTGAAGTTGATTCTGAAGTTTAGTTCAAGATGATACAATGAGGGAACCAGCAGTTAGCATAATGGCTATGTCGCTGGACTCCCACACAGTTGACCGCGGTTCGTATCCCGGACTTGGTGGCTTAAAACTCATGCCGGGCGCGTGTGCGTGTGTGCCCAAGCTCCCAAGAGGAGAATGGAGGAGAAGGGATTGCGGCATGACCATCCTCCCTGGGGGGTGATTTCTCGCTTTCTGTCTCTATGTCTCTCTCTGTCTGTCTGGCGAGCGCACATGCCCTGTAGCGAAAACCTTTCCAAAAAAAATAAATAAATAAAATAAAAAAGATGACACCATGAATAAAATGGTAAAATCTGATGAAATGATCTTTTCTAAGGAATTTTTCTCTTTCTTTTTCTATATAATCCTAAAATATTTAGCCTCTATAGTGAATTACTTAGACGTTTTCAACTGAACTACAGTTTCTAAAAGATTGACTTTATAAGTACTATACACTTATATATATATGATACATCTTCATTTGAGTGCTGCTTTATTAGTAGCAGAAGGTATATTTTAAGGCTTACTGTAGATATTATGGGTTTTAAAAGATTTTAATCATGGTACTAAATAGAAATCCTGGTCTGTTGAGATTTTTCTCATTAGTTGTTAAAATGCAAAGTGACTTACTGATTTGAGGTAGAGAGATTTTATTACAAAATTGTTTGGAACTATAATAATTCAAGACTATTATCTAAGTATAACTAAGGAAACATAAATTATCATATTTCATGTTGGATAATTAAGAGATAGGGTATGATAAAGTGGGTAAGCTCCACTTTAAAATAAGGGTCAATGTTCTCTTGCC